TCTCTCTCTTATGGGGACATAGAATCGGAGTGCCGATTGACTTTATCAGATGCCGCCAAGTTCACTTCCGCTGAGATCTTTGCACCTGTTTACAGAAATCCCACCTCTCTTATGGGGACATAGAATCGGAGTGCCGATTGACTTTATCAGATGCCGCCAAGTTCACTTCCGCTGAGATCTTTGCACGTGACTGTTTACAGTTTCAGGAAACATACACGGACAGATCCAACCTAAGCAAATGACAAATAGCCGAAAATATATGCCACTAACCCTTTGACAGTGATATAAGTTGTGTTGCTTAATAAGGGAGCACTGAAAAGAATATAACTTTGTTTTCACGCCTACGTGGATCGATGGGAATAACATAAAGGAAAAAGCGTAAAATAGGTCGACAGTTTCCTAGGTCCAGTTATGGGGCGAAAGAAATACAACAATAATGGTATTAGATGATTAATGACTTGGCCATTTTAGAGCAGCTCAACGGGCTGAAGCTTACTTGTTTCAGGAATACAAGCCCCCCGTTTTTCTCCACCATCGGCGTATGGTAGTAAAATTCCACCAACTGCTTTAGATTGGAAAACTGGTGGCCCCCACCGACATCGTACATTCCATTTGGTCTGCGCTGGATCATGATGTGAGCTACTTGCTCGCCTGTTAAGACCGAGAGCACATAAGAACCAGGACGATGAACAGACTCGCGCACCAAAAAGCCACCATACTTGCCACGTTCGAGAAGCATGTTCTCAGCTTGCTTGCCCGTTATCTGTCCATGGAACCATCTTTTTCATGTTGAGGAGAACCGGAAAAGGATAGTGCATCAAAACGGCGGGTATGTCAAGGAAAGCAATATACGGTGTATTACCATGAGGACCTCACGGATAAAACTAGTTCAGGGTTATTCAGATAGACACTGAGCCACACCGAGCTAATGCGTATACGGAAATGCAACCAGTACATTTTCGCAGTACATTTTGCAGACCAAAATAGTTATTCGCACAGCAAAACACTAGTTTGGGTTGGCCCGGTCGACCTCCTGTCACAGCATTTAAGAAACGAAAAAAGTCGAGCCTACTATGGCTGTTGCATACCTGAGCAGGAATTTTCCGCATTGGCTAAATGTTGTACATCAAGCGCTCTCCAATGAGGCAGAACAGAAGCTAGGTGAGGTCTTCTTTATACAATACGAAGTCCCACATATTTCAACTCAAAAAAGGACACTTTTATCTATCCCCGTGTGATGATGAAGCAAGCCAAGGGTGCCCTATGATTTAGTGAATACGCACAACAGTTCATCCTTCCTCCAAATGCTCACAGGCAGACATCGCACTTATTCACAGAAATCAAATATTGTGGAAAAAAAAACAGACAACCATGAAGATGCCGTCGGCACAACAGTTCATCCTTCCTCCAAATGCTCACAGGCAGACATCGCACTTATTCACAGAAATCAAATATTGTGGAAAAAAACAGACAACCATGAAGTGTGATGCCGTCGACAAACCGATAACCGTGAGTGGACTTCGGAATCGGATTAGTACCATCGGTGTTCACGATGCTGGTAACTAGTAGCGGCTATGGCTTAACAACTTATGGGTTAGCAGGCGAGCTGCCATATCCTATAATATTCAAAGACTGCTACCGAAATGAAAAAATTGAGACAAACGTACCGGAAACACACATCAGTACGATAACATCCCAATCTGACAAAAAAAATCCTAAACGTATCTGCATAGTGGTGGAATGCAACAAACCCACGTCCTGCTGCTGATGTCGTATTCCGTCAGCACATTTTCAATAAAAAAAACGACCGTTCATCGGCTTTGTTTTTGTGAAGCTTGGATCGATAGTGAAAAATAAGCACGGTGTTGACCTGAGCCTGGTTACACGAAGGCTGTTTATCCAGTACAACGAAGGCGGCTATGAGACAGATTCAGTGAGAGCGCAAACGCAACACACTAGTGTTCGATGGGGTTAAACCATATTGTATCCTCTTATGAGGCATATTTCTCATTTGACCGACCACAGCATCCTCCTAAAACAATGATAGCAACCGACAACGTGCATTCGTCGGTCAGATATGCTGAATCTTCCTGCCCACCAGTCTCCAATAATCCTTCAATCAGGGGGTGAAATAATATCAATCATCTGTATTTCCATTGTTTTTAGGATACAGAACACACTCCTGCGACCAGGTTGAGTGCAAAGCACATCTATTCTAGCACCCTGAAGTAGTACGAAAATAGACAAAGTCCAAACACTGCCTGATATTTGGCTTCCTTCTAGGCATTGCGTGAAGACGGTATGTCGTGTTAGGCAATCAGTGCTTGGACAGTAGTGTTGCCAGACAGTTGGACAAAGGCAGCGACACCATCCGTGTGATCCATCGAGATACAGCACCGCCAACTACATTTTTTTGCGCAGACGGTAAAAGCCTGGACAGAGGTACTGGTTTAGAGGAACCTTTGCTACAAAGTCGACTCCGACAAAAAGTCACTCTAGTGTTAAAATAATGAGTTTCCCTTCTCCTGATGGAAACAACTGAAGCGAGTGTGTTTCAACATAACCAGCTGCATTATTCCTCCCCTCAATCGAAGCGATGGATTTAAAATATACACATAACGGATAAGGTATCCTGCCTTCTGGGCAAGAGTGCACATACAACACGCGGTCTAAATCGAGGTGCTATTGTGTGTCAGTAGAGAAACCGACATTTGAAGTGATGTAACAAGACGCTTAACAAGGTAAAATAGAATATACCTACCTCTCTTTAGTGGGATCTTCAGAAACAAGCGGATATTTGAGAACAATTACATCACCGTTCTTTTCTTTCAGCTGGCCTTCATTCTCCATGTAATAAGTGACCAACTCCGACAGAGTGGCGAACTTCTCCCCACCATAAAGATCAAGAAACTCCTCCGTGTTTTGTATACGTATGTGAGTAACCTCATCGCCGCGACGGACGGAAAGGGTAAAGCTGCCAGGAGTGCTGTGACTGGGGCGCGCCAAAAAACTACCGCTGACACCCTTCTGTAGCAGTAATTTCTCCGCTTCTAAACCAGTTAGATTATGATGGAACCACCTGGGATAAAAAGATATTTAAAAAAATTAGGGCGAAAATAGTTAAACTGAATATAACGGAGCTGTAAAGATGTCATATTTAACTGGAATTTTTTAACAGGCTAACCAAATATAAAAACTAAATGCAGACAGAGAAACGAAGCATACTGTGACGACCACTTATACCAAAATTCAGGCCTACCGAATTTTTTTCACTCATTACTTGTTCACGAGTATCCTCAGTGTGCTCAACCGCTAAATTTTATTTCTTCACGCATCAAAACATTACGATATCCACAAGACCGCCGTGGGTATTCGACTGGGGAAATCTACCGGGCAATGCATCGGACTGCAGAACTGGACCGTGCACAAAAGTTGTCCCCCAAATGAGCAGAAAAATGGTCACAGTAATTGTAAGCTCAAAACCAAAACTTACTTAAGACTCCAAAAAGCACATGCAGTGTGTGAGATTAGTGTAACCCACCGTGCGCTTCACTAGATTTGGCAGCACTAGATGCAGTCACTAGAGGTCGTTGGCTGTTTTCGCTTACATTCCTTCGTCGAACGTTGGAGGAGAAACACCTCGAATATCTGCGCTAGGCAAGCAACGTGCTTTTCACCTCTTCCATTTCTGACTACTTTACAAATCAGAGCTTTATCAAACGAATTGCCACGGTTGTAGTAATGGAGTGCTAGTTTACTGCCAATGATGTGATGATAAGTGAAAGCATGTGCCTAGCCAGTGCTATCCATGCGGGCTGAACCAGCCTCTTGGGTTTGGCATTCGTATGCCCGCGATAGACACCATCTGGGTTGCCCAGGCGACGCTGCTACCAGACGTGGGATAATTCGCACAAAACGGCCAGTCTTATTACCTCCTTAACTGGGTAAGAACCCTTTAGGACCGTCAAGCAAACTTAAATGTTGCAGCCTCGACTCATCATGAAAAAGATGGGATTGTGCCACTTGCATAGACTTGGTCCTGTTGCTGTGAGATATTATTTCAGCAGTGAAGTCACGCGGCGCATATGTCTCGCAATTCGAGTGGGGGCTTCCACGAACCACAGGCATTTCGTTCTATAGTGATCTAATGACTAATTGTTTAAAGCCGTCTCTCGTGAAAACGTAACACTTATTAGGATGACCCCCTGGTGACCATGAGGAAATAGCGGCGGTGCAAACAGGCGCCCTTCTGGCCCGATCAACCGGTTCCATATGACATACTGCACACACGCAACGACATATTAGGACTCATTGAACTGACTTGCAAACAGAAGCATTGATAGCGATGTAGGAGAAACTCCATTACGTTGAAAGCGCTACAGGATGGACAGAGGTCGTTGCATCATTTGAATAGGTAATCACGCATTTTCCACAGTGAATGGTGCGTGACTCGTGACTGGATATAACTTCGGATCGACTCAATTTGACGTCCATAAATACAGGTAACAGTAAGATGTGTTGGGCATCATGGATGGTTCTTTCATCAGCAAGAGGTGCATGAAATGCATCCTAGGCCACCCGCGACCAGAAAGATAGAAACCTTACAATTAGTCCGTTGTGGTCTCACATCTCCCATGCCACTCCTTAGCCTCCTGCTTCACCTACCGTAAAACACCACAGTAGCGTGCGACAGCCTTTAACGGAGATAATGAAAGATTGTCACAGACATATTTGAACAGCAATCAAGGAACTTTTCAGGTCAGAATACAATCTCTGCGACGGTATGAGAAGCGCCAAGCTGAAAACGCATGATTAGGATTGACTCATATCCTGGCCAATAAGGACCTGCCTTTGTTGTCTGTAGACGGTTCGCGCACATCCGCTCAGTCAACATGATGTCCCGTTATTCCAAGCAATGCATAACTAAACACCACTGTAGGGCAGCGAAGCACCGGTGTTGAACATTGATGTTATGCTGCCAACGATGATGACGGCCCCGGGCCCTTTTGAGCCAGACCTGTCAAAGGTCTGAGATGGGTAACCCAGAGTCGAACCCGACTCTTAATCTGAGCAACGGTTGTATTCTGCCCATATCACTATATAAAGTTATACATTCCCTCAACCGCAATTGACCAGCACACTGACTGAACTGCACAATGTTCCTACAATATGAAATCGAACTTAACCCAACAACCCTACTTCGGACTCACCAACCCAACTTGGTTTTCACTCAAATACTAATATTCGTAAAGGAAAATCGACAGCGGTCAAATGTTCTATCCAACAGTGGAAAACGGATACGGCTAGTGTCCTCAAAAATACAACTCGAAACAAAACCAACGTGGAATACTGGTTTGCACAACTGTACTAATCGTTTATCCTTCCGGTGCCTAGCTGCCATGCCACCCAAAGGGAGGGTTGGAATACTGCCAGGTTGCCCAAGCCTAGACAGGGGAAGTCGAGAGGCAGAATTCGGGTTCGAACCACGGACCTTCGGGTCAGTAAAACCGCGCCCTAACCATTTGAGTCATCGCACCCCACAACTGTACAAAGGCCACGTGAGAATACACACAACACTCTCCCTCATGGTCAGCAAAAGTCCTACAGTCAAATTAGAATGAAAACAGGAAACTGGTCAAGAGAGTTTGTACCGTGATCCCAAGTTTCAAAAATGGAACTAGAGTACTTATGTGGCGATCACAACATCCGACGTTCCTACTGGCATTATTCTTGTTACGGTTCGGTCACGTAGCGAGCAAACAATATGATATGCGGATTGTGGCAATACTCTATCCCCAGCTATGTTGCTTGATCCAGACTCTTTAATGATCCAAAAACACGCGATCAACAGGCGATGCCCCGAGCTTCCGAACCCAAGTCAGTAAAAAGATGGTATCCCGTAAGTAAGTGGTCGGATATAAATTTCTTGGAATATCAATAGGCCATTGACCTATTTGACCTTGAAGACGCCGGAAGTTCGCTAGCACACATAAAAATACGGCGTTTTTTTTTGGGGGGGGATATTGATATCCCCAACAATTCTGTAGATGTTGATCGATTCCCAAGAGAGACTAACTGATTTTAACCAAACTGGATTTCGCCCGGGCTGAGAACGCATAGACCATATCTTCATGAGGAGACTGCCGCTCAAACATGCCTTTTAATTCACTATCCTATCATCAGTGAACAAAGCTGTAGCACTTCGAAACACCGCCTCTCGATGCACGGTTTGTGAGCTGACTGAACTGGAGTGTCAGTCTTTCAGTGGTACAAACTAAGTCGTTTTTCTTGACCTTTTAATTCAGTCGATTGCCGATCGGCTGCTGCGATCTTATACCTTATACCAGTGTGACGGTTTGTGCACCTTTATGACCCACTGAGATATACTGAGAGGGGTCACTTTGACACCTAGAATTTCTCATACCAAGTTGGTCAATGGATGTAAATCTGATGAGTACAGTTACTTGTCCTCCAGGTTGGAGAGTGGAACAAGCACGGCGACTTGTTCCCTAAAAAATGTGTGCTACTGCAGTAGTGTTTAGGAGTCCACCTGCTGCCTTGGTTGGGTTTTTGACCCGAACGCTTGATACGATATCCGCTGATAGGCACCTCTGCAGTGTTCGTTTTTCAACATCTGTGGAGGAATCTTAAGAAAGCGATGTCCATCGCTCCCTGTTCATTGCCGAAGACAGTTTCTATGACGCACTAGGTGAACTTTCAAAACGGTCTACAGACCAGACGTTGTTGTGGTTGCTGGTGACATGAACACTCAGGTCCTAAAGAACAATTCGATCTTCCGTGATATTTCACCAAGAATTCAATTTCTCTCTGCTGTGTCTAACTGAGCCACAGTGCTCCGTCTTTCATCAGTTCGTCCACAATACAGCCGATCTTCATCTGGTGTCCTTTGTCCCATTTCTTGCGATTCCCCACTCAAGTACCTAGACTATCAAACGCGACAGCATAATTTCCATCAATTCCCTAAATTACCCAGCTTGCACAGTTACGACACTTGCGACGGGTCTCACACGATGTCAACTTCAGCTGACCAACTTCAGGTGATTTCGGAGTACCAGCGAAAGCAATCTGAGCACGCGTAACTGCAGCAACAAATGAAATTTGAGAACACGTAGCTGAAACTTAGAGAGGCGCTGACCAAGTATCTGAGCGTTCAGACCCCAGGAAGAAGTGCGAGCTACCCATCGAATGATAATTCTATCACCGAATTTATTTGACGCGCATTCAGATCAAACTCTCGACTTTTGATTCGAAAGGTACCAAGATATATTCAAATTTGATTTCGCCTAAAAAGGATGACCCACGGACGGTACGACTGTTCCTTCGAAAACTTGATACATGCGAACATAACCATTACACGAATTGCATATATCCAAAAACGGTGCAGTGTTCCTTGCGTTGACAGCACTATCCATACTCTCGCGCAGGTCCTTGAGGACAAGTTCCCGTTCAACATTTGATACCAATGCCTCAAATGGGTCATGTAAGATAATGGATTTGTCGGGTTTAAAGCACCTGTCAATCGAGAATGAGAGCGCTTGAAGCTCAACTATATAATCGAAAACAAATTCAAACGCCTTATATTCATATCTGCCATCCAGTCCGCGTCATGCAAACATTCGTTTGAGTGGTCCTTGGAAACCTCTTGGAAGCCAAATTATCCGGGACCAAAATGGCTCCCTGATACCCAGCAAAATCTTTTGGACCACTCGGCATAACATTTCGAACACTAATACCTCCTATCCGGAATCCTGGCCTTCAACAGAACGGTGGATAGCGAATATGGAACCCCCAATAATGTCCAAGCGTATATTTCTACTCCAGCGTCATCTTGCTGCTGACCCTGACGGCCTTTCGCGTGCTCTGTTTCTCAGCCACTGCCTGTCTAGAGTACTTAAATCTGGAAGAAAGAGACCTTCCCAAACAATTGGAGGAATCGACAGTAGTACCAATTTTCAAAATTGCTACTCGCAATGAATGTGGTAGTCACTGAGTTGTTAAGTTGACTCCCGTTGTGGCAAGGCCTTCGGAGTTCGATCGACCCCAGCCGACACTCATCTGCAGCCCACAGGTGAATTAGAACCCTGGACGGTGAACGTGGAACCACCTACGACCTCGGAGGTTTACGACTGCATATGTTCTCTCAAGCGCCACCGAGCTCCCGGTCCGGATGACCTTCCACCTGCACTGTTCAAAGACGGGGGTGAAGTCCTCAGTCAGCGCCTGTCCGACTTGTTTGCTTGCATTTGGGAAAAGGAGTCTGTCCCAGACAACTGGGGAGAATCGGTGATAGTGCCCATTTTCAAAAAAGGGGCGCGTAGTGAGTGTGGTAACCAC